AACTCTGGCTCGCGTAGAAATCGATTTCACGCTTATAGCGCCTACCGACACTTTTATTTTTTTCTTTCTATTTTTTTTTTTTTTTTTTTGCGTTTTACGCGCTCGTCGAGCAAAGCCGCGTACCAGATCATTCACACGGCGAAGGGTCTTCCTTTTTACTCTGCTTTCTTGTTTTTTCGTTATTTCGCGTTTCGGACACGCTTATTTGCTCCATCGTTCCGTTTTCTGTCGCATTTCGTCAGATCGTTCGTGCGCCAGACTCTCCATTTATTTTTTGAATTCACTCCAAGAGAAAAAGTGGTTACCGAGTAGCTTAACGTTTGCCAAGCAGAACCGCCGGATTTTGAACCTGTAGAAATAGCGGGGAAGATCTCACTAAGGCAACATGGAAGTTTCCGCTGCGGAGAATATGTAAAAGTTTATATTTCAATTCGTTTAGTTCGAAATTTATTATTCTGCGTCGTCGTGTATTACGTTATATTACTGGCAGGAAGTATAAACATTCATACACACGTACTGTGGCCATAGAAAGTTTCTAACCAGGGTGTAGTTCCGTCTCCGTGTAACTTCAATGAAAACGTTGTAACGTTAATAAAATTCTTCTTAAATTCTTCCTTTATAATATCGTGCTTTATAAGATGCAAAATATGCTCCGCTTGTAGGACAAACTTTTGTTTTCAGAAGCTCATCATCCCGACGATGTTATAAAATTGAACTTTTTGCCGGAAACATTTGCCAATCACTGTACGTTCATTTCCAGTTTGACCACCTTGATATTTACCGCTCTAATTTGGCTGTCAGGTTCAAAAATTCACAATAGGTTCACGAATACCTATGTATATTATCCAACGTTGCAAGCATTATTAATTCTCAATCATAATATTATAAAATTGTAATGCTAATAATCGAGCTACAGAAAGTCCGTGTATTCCATTAGTGGTTCTTCTCCATTCTCGTTCAATAAAGCGCGTTTTAAAACGCAACGTAAACTTCAGTAGTTGTACTTTCGTGCATGATTTCTAGAACAGGATAATTTTTTCGCCGGGCAACGGAGAAACCATCGCGTTGATTTTTCGATATTAAACGTTTCCAACGGCGAACCGGTATAATGAGATTTTCATTTTTATTCGGTAATTGCAGCTACTTGGAAAGTTTCTGATTTTCCTTTCCGCTTTCTCTCCTCTTTGCTCTCTCTCTCTCTGTCTCTCTCTCTCTCCAGATATTAATAGAAAACTTTTTTAGTCTGAAATAATAAACTTGAAGCAGTTTTAACGCGAGAATTTTATCCCGTTCGATGTGCTCTCTTTTTCGTTCGCTGCACGCTCATACTCCGTTCTTTTTCCTTTTTTCCCCCTTTTTTTCATTCCTTCTCCTCTTTTCCTCTTTTTCTCTGGATGCGCGCTGTCATTCATCGAAATAAATACAACGAAGAAAGAAAGAGGGTTTTATGCCAGATTGGCGACGCCATTAGCCTGTGCCAAGCGTTTATCCACTCCCCCTGAAGGGAACGCGCGGGATTTCGTTTCTTGGAGGATGCCAAAGATTTTAAGACAGTTAGATTTTATACTTTTCACCGATAAGCTTCGATATTATACAAATACTGTGATGTCTTTTTACCGTTGATGATTTACTTAAGAATAATGAATATTAGCAGTGAAATATAAAAAATGTAATGCTGGATCCTTTTGGACAGTAATTTATTAAGTAATTAAAGGTTAAAAATTTTATTTATTGCACTGTCAAACTTGTTTCTCTCATACAATAAAAACTCAAAAAAACGACGAAGCAAATGGCTTATAAAATTTTGCTAATATTATTAGTTCAATCATGCGTTTTAAATTTAATCAAATTAATGTTGTATTTGTGACACTTATGATGACACTCTCGATCAATTTTCGTTATTTATCGTACACCAACAGTGTCGCAACTAAAAAAGGAAATGTCGAAAAAGCATCGCGATAAATTATTACAAACCGGCGGAGTATAAATTGTATCGGCATATCTTGAATGTATGAATAATTCGCGAATATTAATAAGCGTTGGAGTAGTTGGAACGGATCGAGTGTAAATAGTGCAGAGACTGAGCGCAGCTAATTACATACATCAAAAGTTAATATTTAATTACGATTTATTGATTGATCGTTTGGTTACATTATGAAATTATCATTGCTCTATTACGAGGCGTCCATAAATTAACGCGATTGCATCGAGCATCTGTGAAATAACGATTTAAATCGTTATAATGTCATCGTTGCAAAGTTCGGCCTACGTTTCAAGATGAAGCAGGATTTCTTCCGCGTTGTTGTGCCAACGGAGAGATCGACTTTTTCTTCATCGGTGTCTCGGATAATAAGAGAAAGTCGCGAAAGGAACGCGAAACACGAGGAGCACACGTTCGATTTAAGACGCTGTGGGATCCAGTTTATCCGGATACCGTTTATCTAAAATGGCGATCGTCCGGACGCAGCTTATCCGAAATGGTATACAGGATCTTGTCTACCGGTATGTCGCGCGCGACCTTGTCTTGTATCGAACACACGTCCCGCGGAAACTCGAGCATGCGTTATACCTTCGGTGCAGTTCCAAATATCGATACGATCGAAATAGTTTCCGCCTCTCTGTTCTCTTTTTTGGAGAACAATATGCAATAAAAAAAAAAAAAAAAAAAAAAAAAAATAGAGGACGAAGTCTCGGGAAGCAATTCAAATTTATTTTCTTTTTTTTCCCCGAGAGATTAATTGAATGATAGTGAATGGTTTCATTAGATTTAAAGAATACGCATAGCCTTTTGAATGGAGTTTCAATTTTGGGAAACAAATGTGCCGGAAGAATCGAGTTCTTTATTTATTGATTTATTTGCATGACAGGTCCGAGAGAAAAAGTCTTCTTCGTCTATGAACTGTAGCCTTTCAAAGAAATTCTTTGAAATTTTTAAATCCGCACGTGCTTCTGTAAACATCTTTATATTTTACTAAATCGATATCTTACTTTATCGCCATTGTTAGTACATTAGAATATTGCGTGCTGAAGTATTTCGAATGCATTCGAATACCTTTGGAGTGCCGGTAAATGGATTACACAGGCAACTATGCAATGAACTGGATCGAGCCACGTTTTTACTAAATATTTAACTGGCATCAGAAATTTACATTCGATATCCTCCGCTCTGTTCATGAATTCATCAACGGACCAATTTGCCCGATCCATATTGAAACTAAATACGAATCAATCATACGCGAGTAAAAATAGTTGCGAGACATTGATCCCCTCCCATAGTTGTTTTGAGCAATCTATTCTATCTTGTTGACAATTGAATCATCCCGCGGTGAGGGATGATTTTCCCGATAACGTAGGATGAGTCCTGGTTAAATCTATACGTCGACGTTTAACTTGGGTATAAAAAGGGCAAAACGTTCTCAACCACGTGAGCCGACAAGATGGCTTGATACGTTTCCAATTGAAACGTCGCATTACGACGTGTATTTTCCCGGAAAAAAAAAAGGAACGGAAGAGGGGGGAAAAAGGGGAGTAAAAAACGTTTAACAATTTGCACGGTTATTCCCGCGGAGCGCCGGTGGCTACGGGTCGCACGCATCATTTCTCATGTACGCAACGTGCACGCAGAACAAATAGACGTTCGATTCGACGTGCACACACACGTACGCACACATGAATCGGGTCAACGTTTCGATTAACGTTCGTCAAACAACGCTACGAATGCATCGGCGTACACGACAGTAATCATTTCCGCGCTGACCGATTTTTTGACGCGCTTGTGACAACCTTTCAAATAATGCCGGAACCCAACTCGCCCCTTCTCCTCTGCCTTTCGTCCCTTTCCAGCCAGCCAGCTAGCCAGCCAGCCAACCAGCCAGCCAGCCAGCCACCCCAGCATGGATTTTCAATGTCGATAAATCTCCATCGGGCCTGCCTCAATCTCCGTCACCCGGAATCCATCTTTCCCCGGGACGTTTCACAAAAGATATTTCCTTTGGTAAATCAGAAGATTCGTCGAGCTATAAAATTCGTGTCCGTACACCGCACGCGGATCGTTCTGCTGATATTTACAGCCGCTTTTTCTCATCCACCTGTCGGTAATGTCAATACGTATCAAATCCGGACAACTTGTTTAGCCTCACGTTTTCGACTTTTCTGTCAAATGTGAACAACACGTGAGGTGAATTGGGCTGGACGCGTTTTTATTCTAGCATTTGACCTGGAGTCATAATCGGGCGATAAATTTCGCAAAAGATAATTTGCTTAAAATTATGTTATTCCTACGACAATTATCCAATTATCCTTCTTCTACGAATTGTCCAGGCTTCTCTCGTATCTCGAGTAGTCGCGTGAAGATCGTTTAGAAGTATTCATCACATACATTAATACGTGCGATTCGTTTCTCTTATCTTCTTCACAACAGAATTCCCCAAATATCCAATGGCGTTTGATCCTTCCTACGTGGTCAGAGATTACGTTTGAAAATACCGGAAGAGAACCGCATAACACTGACAGACGCAGATATAAAACAAACTCGGACGTTCGGTCCGCGTGATCGTCGCAAGATCCTCGCGGCTTACATTAACCCGTCTCTTTCGAACCGTTCATCGTTTCGATGAGACGGTCTTTCTCCGTGCTTTAACCCCCTCTCGGTCTAGGCTCGCCAAACCATCCCTACGGCAGCACTTTATTCCAACCTCGGCCCCAACGCGATGTGGGTGGACGCGGAGTTTGTGGGTGCGCAAGGGGCGAGAAAGGGAACGAGAGAGAAACCAGGAGAGATAGAGAGATAGATAGATAGATAGAGAGAGAGAGAGAGAGAGAGAGAGAGAGAGAACAAGGAGAATGTAACGGTGGGGGTGCACGAGGGTTGGAGTTGGCGTCGGTTAGACGTGGAGGGGAGAAGGGCATAGTGTATTTCTCCGCGAACCCCTCCAGCCCCCACCCTAGCCACACGGGCGCCAACGTCAAGCGCTTTCGAGACGTTAAGGCCGACACTCGTGCGGCGCACTTCGGCCCGACGACATCGGCCAGTATCGTAGACACGTGCGTGTGCGATAACCACTCGGTAGCATCCCCTTCGTAGATCCTCGGGGATCGACGTGATCCATTCGCGCCGCGGCCAATACGTACAAGTTCGTTCGACGATTTTTCGTCGCCCGTAGTCATTCACTTCACCCGAGAATCGCGTCGCGTCGCGTGGTTTCGCAATTCGTGGTTTGCAAGTTCTCGCGTCAATTTGTCACTCGATCGAGTTCGTTCTCTCGCAATCGTGTCGTCGTAACGCAGAGTCGTTAGTACCGAAAACTCGCAGTTGACGAGGACGTTGAGAAGAACGCATTGATACCGTCACGTGGTATTCGCGAAGGTATTCGATTTTTGGTGGCGATGTGTAAACCGCACCGCGAAGAAGGGTGAGAAGCCAAGTGTGACGTATGTAAATGTAAAGTGAGACACTGCTGCGTGATCTGTCCTCGAAGAAGGGTTGAACCGGTTCCTCGATGCGCCCTTCGTTGGAGGGCGCAGCCTGTACGCGGTGGCAAGTCGAACATCTTTGACGATAGCTCGCGGAACGCGCAGAATTTGGAGCACGTAGAAACGGAATAGCTTCGACAGAAGTCGCACAACGGACGAAAAACAAGCTTGCCCGTCGACGACCGGAAGGACCATGAAGAAGCCTTACTTCATCTTTGTAAGTTTTTTTTTTTTTTTAAAGAGCCTTGTTTTTATCCGTCGTTCGCTCAGCGAATGCCAAGACGTCCGATTGAAATGTTTCCGGGCGAGAGCGCGTGCTCTGTTCCGGGGTTATTTTGCCTCTGATCTTTTCGATCCCTCTGTACCGCCTTCTCTTCGTCGCGTCGTTTTTCGCTTCTTCGTCCACTTCTTTCTTCTTTCTTCTTCGTCCGATTCGTCGTTGCTCGCGAAGTTGACAACGAAAGCGAGACTGCATTCTCCGGGGAGTTTGTTACCTTTTAACATGCGAGAGTTCGCCGTTTCACGCTCGTCTTACCTCTTTCTTCATTCTTACCAGAGATCAAAGACCAACGACGTCGCTTTAATCTGCCAATGGCGGAATGGCGCATGTTTCCTCCTCCAACTCTTGCCCGATGCTTCTCGCTTTGAGACGATGCACGCCTTTCGAACGTCCGTCTTGTCCCACGGGCGAGCCGGTCCTTTGGTCCGCCTGCCTCCTTGCTTATCGCGAATTTCTCTTCTCGTTCGTCGGGTCCGTGATTCGAGAATTAACAGAACGACCACGTGACTCTTGAGTCGAGGGGGGAATGAGGTCAGTCGGTACACGCGACCCGCACAATGTCGATTTCGAGACTTTTCGAGGCTCGAGGGTTCTATCCGGAAGTTTTACGAATGGAATTCAAGCTTCTCGCCGACCACCTGAGATCCGCGGCAAGTCGGCCACGCTCCTTCCCTCCCGTTCATCAACTTTTAAACGGCCACTTGGAAAATCGATCCGTAGTCGGTAAAGAACGTCCAAAGCCGGCGTCTTACTCCCTGTTAATATCGTTCAACGAGCGTTGATTAATCCGACGAAAACGCGCGCGAAATTTCAAATACTTCTCCAGTTATTTCCGCGTACGTAAAATTTCAACGTACGCGACACGTTTGCGACAGAGTTACGAGTTAGCAAATCGTAAATTTGAAAACGTTGTCCGCGTAGACACGAATTTTCACGACTTTATTCTGTAATACGATATTTAGGTCGCGAATGAGATATACTTGGAATCGTGACAAGAGGTTAATAGCCGAAAGTTTGAATCGGAGCCGACGATTAAAACTAGTTCGGAGCGATGTTAATTAATAAATTTCAACTTTCAATGTTCGTTCAAATTTAGTTTTACGGCGTGTTTTTAGAATCACGCGATCGGTTACAATGTGAAACTAGCATTAATCGCGCGTTGGACAAGCATAGCGCGTTTTCGGCAAAGTGACGAAAGCTGCTTGCGTTCTAATTAATATCTCCGTTAATGTCGGCAAGTTAGCAACGAGCGCGTTGGATTTCGCATCAACGGAATCGTAGTTAGTCGCAACTGCATCCCCCAGTTTCGTCCTCGAAGAAAGTTATATACCTTTCGGATCGTATTGTACGAATTTCGGGCCATTGCTGTTTGTTGCTGCAGAAACTTGGTCGGAACTTACGGACGAAGCCTCCCCTCCCGTACAATACGACGGTGTGGTTCTACAGATTCTGCAGCTCCTACCCCTGTTTTCAAGGAGCCGCCGTGAAAAGAACGCTCGCGAACGTGCAGAGACGTTCTGACGTATGGCCGTTCCTTGGACTCACGGTTTTCATCGGTGACTTTGATTTTCCGAGCGGAATTCGTGAATTTCCGCGTTCCAAACGAACCGATCCTCCCCTCGGGATTCTTCATCTTTGACGAAGGTCTTTTGTAAATTTTTGTACGATCTACCAACTTTGCGCGCTACGTTCGTTGAACTGAATTACGATTTGAATCATAATGCCCGACAAGGATTTGAAGTAATTAACAATTATGAATTTATTTCACGCAAGGATTTCACGGATTAGAAGGAACATAGAGAAGGAGGTTGACACGTGTGTAATTAAGTATTTTATAAACACACTCCGTCAGTTCGATTTTGCGTCGCGTTTCGTCGTGGTGCGCAACTGTGACGCTGGCTGTTCACATCCGAGGTGCGAAAAAAAGCTCGGAAAACGCGAGCGTGCAAACGACGCGACGCAACAGCGACATGCAAGATAAAGAAATTTTGACGTGGCGATTTCTCTTCATTTACCCTTCTTACCAGCTTTACTCTGTAAATTGCGTGTGATGCACTACGTGAACGCAAACTTGGGAATTTACTGGATTTTTTCCCAACTTTGACCCGTGTAAGGACCAAGCCTTGTCCACAACCGCGACAATTTCTCCTTCGCTCGGAACTAAAGTAAAAAAGAAAATCGACATCGCTGGTCGACACGATCCAATTTCCATTTCGACGTCGGATCGTAATAAACTCTCGTGACGAGGCTTGTCGTATCTCCGTCCCCCAGTCTCTTGTTTTAAATCTGCATGAATATTTCACGAACGCTTCAATCTTTCCAGCACGGTGTCGCCGTGAGACGTTACCTGTTCGCCTCGAGAAACGTCCGACCCTGTCACGAGTTTCCTATGTCGAACCAGCAGAAAGTAACAGACCATAATCTTGGCAGACAATGAGAAGATACCTTTTGCTTGTGTCGTAGAATTTTCTCACCTTTTCGTTGAAAGGAACTTAGGAGCCGACTACGCTGGTCGACAGAAGTCTTCTTTATTGCTTGGTTGATTTTGCCACGAAGGCCACCCCTGTAGACGCGGTCATCGTGAAGAAAAAAGAAACAGCAAAAAAAAAAAGAATGTTACGAGGGTTATCCTCTTCTAACTCGGGTTTCTTTCGCTCGATTTCTTTCTCACTTTCGTCGGTGTGTACCTGGTTGAAAGGGCTCGAGGGATGACGTGACAGACAATAACTTTGGAATCAGCACGAGCCAACCAGCTGCAAGCGACCGACAAATAAAAGTTCGTGAGCGTGGACGAGATGAACAGATAATGGAAGCGTGAAAGCAGATAAGTCGAAGGGCGGATCGAGGCTACAGGATACGCGGAGGCGTCGCGTCGCGGAGAAAAATCTCGAGTGTGCTTGCCGTGTTAACGACGACGCCACTCGCCGTTACCTTTTCGCTCTCGCATTGATTCGTGTCAATACTCGCGAATTGTTGTGCACCGATTTAGCACTTGACTCGAAATTATTCTTTTCTAATGGTCAGGCGCATCGAGGACAACCGTGTACGGTACGATGCTTGCGGTACATGCACGTGCCTTTTTGACAGATCGATTAATAAGGGGAATGAAAAAGAGAAACGGAGGAGGAAGGAGGTTGCGCCAAGTTTATTTGACCTAAATTCGAGTAGAAAACGGTGAACCATTCTCGTATTGCATGAAATATTCGACTATTCTTTGGGATGTCGGAGGTGACCATCTTGCGGCTATTTACGAGGCCGAAATGATTCACGACGTACCCGGCAATCGTGTTTGCGGAATGGTTCTACCGATTCAGTTTATTGGAGGTATTACTGCGATTCGGCAACAAGAACCAACGGAACAAATATATTTACGTAGATTTTATTTTCTTTTCTTTTTTTTGTTCATGTTGCTTTTCCCGTAAATTCTACCCAAATTTGTTAAATATTTGCGTTCGTTTGTCATTCGTTTGCCTACGTACAGATATGTATTCTAACTCGATTTTCAATCAATAAGCAAATTCGATGAATAATAGCATAAATTATTTCGAAAAGAGGTGAACTGCGACAACGGCACAAAACTCTTATAAATATTTATATTCATTTATCTTTCGTAGAAATGTCTTAATTCAATCGTTATTGAGATATCGTTATGAGATACCGACTGAACCTAGTAAATAACAACGAAATTAAATAAATTTTTAAATATTCATGTTTATTCGCGATCTACGTATTTCGCACATAAATATCTCAACTCGTCCTCTGCTAAAGTGTGCCCGATGAATAGTAATAAAATCACGTAACCTCGGGAAGGGGTTTCTTAACCCGTGGCATTAAATTTTGAACATATTCATGCTCGTATCTGTACGCTTCGCATGAATATTGCAACTCATCACCTTGGCGAGTATCATTCTCGATGAACGATGAACTATAAAATTACAGAAAGGAGTTTGTGAATCTGCTACATACCACGGACAACCGTATAATCGGTCGTACGAAACATGCCAGCTCCTCTGCTAGTTTTGAGACAATTTGTCGCGGCTTTGTACTACAGCTTGTTCGCGTACTTTTGCCAGGTGATGTATAACGGCTTTTGGCAGAAGGTCGTCGGCCAGCGTTTTCGACGATCTCACGCTTTGTCGTCCAAACTCTCCGGCGAATTTGGCTCCGCGGTCGGTTTTCTAACGAGTCGAAAACGATTTGGTCGGACGAGGGAGGAATTACAAACAAACGGAACGAAACTTGCGGCGGAGAACTCGCGTCTTGTTTGTCTCTTTCCTCTTTCGCAACCTGTTGTCTCCTGTCGATCGAAGTGTCAGTTGAAACGTGGTAATTAGAGGCTCGTCGATGAGAATCGACAACGTTGCTGTCCAGCCATCAGATATTCCCGTCGGAAAATCGAGACGCGCGGCGCGCATTGGGTTCCTCGCTAATATGTACGTACCACTTCCGCCGATCGAGCGGCGTCGCCATCGTGCAGCAAGTTTTGTCACGTCGATCCGGGACGAATTTTTTCTCGTCGATTGTACTTCAACGACGAAATAATTTGAAGAAGTAGAATCAAGTAAGCGAGATGCGTTGTCGATGAGGTTTCAAAATGAACGACAATACTCTTCCGAGGGATCGATTGATTGTTGAAGCAGAAAATGTAAATTGGAGACGATTCAAATTGTCCGTCGTTCGTTCGATAATTGATCAAACTGTCGTCGAAAAGACGAGCCAAGGACTCGACGAAGCCAATTAAATTATTAAAAGGTGGACGCATGCCGCGAAAACGAAACTTGGCGAATGCAGTTTCCAACGTAATCTAGGAAATTACACGGTGGCAGCCGCAGAGGACAGGAATAACCGTATTTCGTGGGTAGTTGATTGGCGGTTTCTAATTAACGGGTTGTTTCTGACAATTGGAATCGAAATTATCGACGATACAAGCGACAAGG